AAAGAGAGGCCCCCTCCTGGATCCCCCCCCTTAGTTTGTATTTTATCAGTTTTGTCAATGTTATCCACTGCAAGAGGCTGCCAGTGTCCTTGAAGGGCTCACACCAATAGTTTATGGATTAACACACTTTATAAATATAATACAAAATTGTGACAGGTTGAGGTTGGAGGATTGCTGATGATAGTATCTGGCTGCAAAAACATATTCAAAGCAATACACAGACACACCCTAATCCCTAACAAAAGCTGTCTTGAACAGAGTACTGTTCTTACCCAACAGCTGTGCCTGCAGGGGAGAAAACAGGTTCAGCATCCAACTGATCTCAGGAGCTACAATGGAGTCTTTCCTAACTTCTTCCCATTCCTATCTTACTTTCATAATATTTCTTTACGTTTAGGTGGAGCTTCAGTGACTTTAGTTCAGTGAGGCGTGGTCATATCTTGGGGGCAGCTAACTTTGGGATGGAGGTATGCGACAGTATCACATCTGAGCTAACTTTGGGATGGAGATTTGTGCCAGTGTTACATCTGAGGAGAGTGATTTCACCAACAGCAACACATCTTCTCCTATCTCCCTCTTCTGATAGCTGATATGCAGCTTATCAGCTAAAAAGTACCACCAAGTGCCCTCCTCTGCAAGGATTTCAACAGAGCCCGGCCACGGTGTCTGTGCTCCACCCAGTGTTTCATTCCCCCCTCAGCATCTATTGTGTGGAGGAAGTCAGGCATGCTGACTGCATTCCATCCAGGGAATAGCAACCCCATTTCCCACTATAATTTCCATACTGTTATAACTGTGTCTGTAACTTTCCAGCCCGCTCCATCCTCCCTTTCATCATGTATTTTATGCACGCTGATCACAAGTTTCATCTGTTAAAATGTAACTTTCCAGTTTTCTTTAATTTTACCTCTGATTATTTTCCCACACAGTTGCTCTTTGATTTATCAGCAAGCTATGTGGTACCATCCAGTTCCCATTCCTGCAGGGATACAACACAGCCTGGCCAAGGTGTCTTCTCTCTGCCTCACCCTCTGTTTCATCCCTCCTTAGCATATCCTTCAGGTTGCAAAGTGTGTTGCCTGGGGAATTATCACGGAATTGATTCCAAGCATGCAAACCACATTCCACGCTGGACATAACAACTGCATTTCTGCCTAAAATTTCCTCAATGTTATAACTTCTGTTAGAATATGAATAAAACTGTAGCGTTCAAATTTTTCCCAGTTTTCTCTAACTTTCCCTCAGTCATTTTCCCACACTGTGTTTTTGCTGACCATTTAAAAAGAAAATTATTTTTGTTTGGGGTCAAACCTGGTCCAGAAACCACCCCTAAAGCCCTTTTTCTGCTCTGATCTGCTGCTTGTAGCAAGTTTTATTTCTTAGTGTTTTCATCATGGACTGTTTCCTCAGTAGGAGGTAAATTAAACATGAGGAAAAACAGAACTCAGGAATACTTACCCTATAAAAATACAATGGGACTTTTATGGCCTTCCTGAGAAACATGACCATTTTCCTGCTGGTCAATTCTGCTGCCCTCTTGTTTTTGTGATTTTTATTTTGTTATATAGCTTATGTAAGGCCTAGCATTATTTCTGCTGAAATTCCTGAATTCCACATGAAGAAAAATACGGTTTCCAATATAAAGGGGAAGGGGAATGAACACTTATACATCTATCTTTTTACAGAACAGAAGAAAAATGAATCAACTGTAGGCTTTGCTGAGTGACAGTCTTGTCAGCACAAAGTGTGTGGAAAACACAGCTATCACCGGCATAAAGGAAAGACAAGTCTGTGCATCAGCCTTTGGCTTTAATGTAAGAGATCAAGAGCATCCTGGGAAGAGACAGCAGAGGTAGAAACTCTGGGAATGCAGAGCACAAAGCAGTGATAAAGGCAGGGAGCACAGCGCTCTACTAAACACACTTGTTCTTGCAGCCTCAGAGCCCAGTGCCAGGGCACAGCCTGGCTGACTCGCAAGGTTGATTGCTAATTTCACATCTTTGATTTTTGGAAGAAAGATGCCATTTAAGTGCCATTTTCAAGGAGTCCTTTTTAAGCACTTTGAGTTCAAGGATTCTGCCAGTAAAGCAGATGGATGTAGGTCCATTCTCTGGCACTGAGACCTGCTGGTATGGAATGTGCCGTGCCCATACTATAACCCTGAAACAGTGGTTGTACAGGCTGCCCTTGGGGAGTGGTCCTGGGCCATTCTAACTTCACAGTCTGTGCTCTGGAACTGCCAAAAAGCAAAGTAATGGCCAAAACCAAAGTGCTTGCTGGCCCAGGTCACAACTCTACCTGGACTGTTCTGACCGTACTCAGAACTGCTCCCTGGAACCTTAAAACTGCTGGTACAGATGTAGCTTATCTGTTTTCATTATCCAGCAGCTTATAAAGAGCAGAATAACAGCACTTCTGCTCATATCCTATCATATCATATGATAAAAAAGCTAATAGGCACTCCCTGATACAGTCACATGGGGGGAATACTGGAAAAGAAAGTTCAGCAAGAAGGAGTGCATGCATTGGCTATAAGGTGACAGACCAATTTAAGGCCACACTGTCAGTCCTGAGCAGTTATGGGAGTTGTAAGGTGATAAGGCTACACCAAAAGGGACAAAGAGACTCCTGAGGGCTTTCGGAAAGACCCCAGCACCTAGGGAAGGCTTCCCAGCAACAGACTGATAGGATCAAGGAAGGATGGAATGGTATGGAGATAGTATGGCCTTTCTTCGCCAACATCCTACCTGATGTGAACTCAGGTCCATGTCATCTGTCTATCACCCTGAAAATTAGTTTACTGACTATAGTCACTCAAACTGCCTAAGGAAAAAGTATAAAAAGAGATTGGATGCAGCAGCCAAACAAACGCACACTCAGTCAGTTGACAGGCAGCGAACACTTTATTTACAGAAGGCTTAGTTTTATAGTCTTTTTCTTCTGTCCACACACAAATATACCATATCTCATTGGTTAAGTGTTCTTGTTCACACGCCTAAGCTCCTTTTCTAATAGCATTCCTTCACGTGCTGGCAACTCTCAAAACAACACCTGTTATTTACTGCAGTTCTTCATCCTTTTCTGCTTTCTCATCTTCAATGCTTACATTCCTTTACAACCTCGTAGCTGTAACTGCTCAAATTCAAGGCCTAAGCTGTCTACAGCTCAGTCATTTCCCATAACTGGACAGGAGCAAAAATGTGGGAGAAGTTCCATCATTTCTGGGGCTGACAGGCCACCTTTTCTCCTTCCGCTCCTCAGGATGCTGTGGGGCAACCAACCGTTTTTATATTTTACTTTGCTTTCACCTTTACTAATTGTACTTTGCCAATAGTCATCTTATCCATAACTGACCACTGCTCCTAAGCAAAGGCTAATGTAATGTCTAAGTGTTTCCAGGGCTAGATTTGCAGTGAGTTTGATCTGGAGTTTATTCTTGCTGTCCTAGATGATTTCTTTGAGAAAAGAAAACAAAGTAACTTTTCTTTGTGTATTACAAGAGATTTCTGAAAATTATTGAAAGTGTTCAGTTTTTATTCTTTAGAACTGATATTATCTCATGAATATAGGTATTAGTATTTTTAATTTTCAGCTAAAAATAACACAGTCTTCATTTGAGCATCACATAGTCTGAGGGGGATTTGAAGTTGGAAAAAAAGCATCTCCATTACAGCAATTCTGTATAAGATTTTTATAATTTCTTAAAAATTATTTATTTATTTCCTTGTGTTATTACAGCAGACTACTTTAGACAGAAAGGTAGCTGAATCAGAAGAAAACTTGGACTTCATCAACTTCAGGACTGCTCATGAGGAATAAAGCTTAGGAGTTTGAAACATTATACAATTTAAACAACAAACCGCTGCTTTACAACTTTCCAGCTTCTGAGTTTTTTTCAGGGCTTTTTTCAAGAACACTTGAGGGCTCACTGTTCATAGAAGGACAACTCTATGCATCTCAGTTTCTTAACTGAATTGAAAGTGATGTCTTCAATATTTGGCTTAAGATAGTCTGCTTAATCTTTCTAACATCGCCTTTTAGCCTGTTTCCAGATAAGATAATTATTAATCTCACTAAGCAAAGTAAGTTCTCTAATGGCATTACAGTGATGCAGGGCACCACAGATCCAAGGGATGAAGGGAAATTGTTACATTAATACATTTTCAGACTGCCCAGTACATCTTCGAATATTACAAATAAAATATATTTTTAACATGTCAATTTGCATTGCCACTGACTGCTACAGAAAGTTATTTATTTTAAAATGCAGTAGATAGCAAAGTTCTGTGAGGATGAGGAAGGAGAGACAATGTCAGTACCGGGACTGAATCAGACCGTGTGTACTACAGGACATCAAAGGGCATTCTCAAGAAAAACAGGCTTCATGATCTTTTTATCTGCAGAAGAAAAGAAAATATTAGCTCTTTGAGTCACATGAGAACAAATGAATTTTTAGCTATACTTGATTCTAAATTTGTTTAGTTTCAAAGAAAAGTTTAAAAGCATGACTCAAAAAATCTCATTATTAATATGAAAAAAATCCACAGAAAAAATCCCACACACAGACACACATATGATTTATCATTTTTAAATAGCCTGAAGTGTCAATTTTATTCCCTGACAATTCTTTCTATAGCTGGTGACCAGGACACAGAGAAAGGCATGATCAGATCCTTCTCTTTCTGGGGGAAACAGCAAAGCTCAAGGAGATGTCATCAGGCTTTTACAGCCTGAACGATTCTGTGATTCTAAACCAGGTAGGAATGCACGGGGCTGATGGACATGAACCAGCGAGCTCTGAACGCTGCTGTCTCCCGGGAACAGAGCCTAGGGCGTCTATGGCATAAGGGCTCTCACAGCTCCCGTGCCCCGAATACCAGTGGAGTAAATCGAGTCTGAGACAGAGTTCCGAAATCAGAGCAGTCGCTCCTGCTCTGCTTGAGCACACACCATGACGCTCCTCCCGCCCAGAACGGGCATCAGGCCAAACTCCCCTGGGTGCTGGGGGAGCGGTGGATCTCTGCCGGGGTTTCTGTCTCAATCCGTGCAATAATCCAGCTCAGTGAGTAGAAACAACAGCGAGTTGTACTAATAGTTCTGACTCTGCTCATGTCTTTCCCTCCAAAGTAAAACACAACCTCGCCCCGTTCCACCCCTTGACCCGCAGGGGAGTAGCTGATGGCAAGGGCAGAGCTCAGAGAGGAGGAACCGGGATCGGACTCTGTTCCCGAGGGCAGGTTGGGTTTGTTCCGGTGCAGAGATTGTCCTTCCTTATTCACAGGAAAAAGGTGAGTAACAAATTGTGCTCGGGAGCCATATAACTTCTTAAAGTTACTGCTGGGGGCCATTGCTGGCAGACCTGACAGTTTGAAGTTGTTACACTTGGTTGGAAACAGGTTTCAGTTTCTGCGGTTTTCTGTGTATTTGAGAGCAATGAAGATATTCAGATCCTCTTCTTCTTCTTTTTTTTTTTTTTTACATTTTTGTGGGCCTGATTCTGTCAACAAAGGCAACGATTTATAAAAATGCAAGTTAGTGAACTCTGCTGGAAGAAGGAAAAAAGCTTCTTTCACATCTTATTTTTAATTGACTAAAATTTGGACACAATTAAAAGAGAGGAAGCATCTCTTACAGGGTGGTATCAGGTGAGCTTCCCACTGAATTTTTTAGCTGATACAGACAAATTTTGTGGGACTGGATTAAATGGTTCAGCTGACAACAATGAATAGACAGCCAGCCTCAGAAAGAAAAGCCTTTAAATTACATTGTATTGAAATAATTGGCAGTGTTTATTCACTGTAAAATAGCCGTAGAGCACCACCCCGTGGGGATTGACATTCCTGGGGTTTCAAGTTGTTTGTCATTCTGCATTTGCAGTCTTACCACAGACAATTAGGTATGCACTTAGCTTTTCCTGTACAGATATCATCATGCAAGTGCTTTTTACAGAGGGTAGGGTGGTCTGTCACGCAGTGCTGGTTGCTTGAAGAGGCTCTGGCCAGCAGCCCACCCTGTGCTGCATTCAGTAAAGTACCAGCTCTCAGGAAGTAACACAGTTGTTCCCATTGTGATTCCCTCTTCTTCTCATCTCCTTTCACCCAGCACCAGGGAGCAGAGGAGAGCCTCTTGCAGATTTAATTTTGCCAGGCTTGAGATTGCAGCCCATCTCAACAGCTGCTGGTGCCAAAAGGAACCCAGGAACAGTGACTGAGGAGTTACCTGAAAGACTCCTGCAGCAGTGAGACCCTCTACCAGAGCAAATCAGGCACACTGGAATCAAATGCTGAGGCAAGGGAAATAAATAGGAATTTTAAAAATCTTTTGTCATCTTTCATCACTGAGATTTTCTCACTGCATGTAAGTGTGCCTGTATTTATGATAGTTTTATTTCAGTTTTGGTTTGGTTTTTGTTTTTCCTAGAGAAAATGTTTGCAGCTTATTTTGATTGCCCAGGAGGCCCAGAAAATCTCTATATGAAAGAAGTGATGAAACCAAGTCCAGGACAAGGAGAAGTTCTTGTGAAGGTCTCTGCCAGTGCTCTGAATAGGGCAGATTTACTCCAGGTATGTATACGTTAAGCAGATTTATGCAGCTGAAAATAACACTGATTTTTCAAGCCCCTATCTGAGGTCTTGACAGATCAGAAGAGTTAAAAGAGGTTGGAAGTCAGGAGCATTTGGATGGGAGATTTCATAGGGGCGAAAGAAGTCTGTTGATTCAGCAGATAAATGTTTTTATCTGGGTCACTGCAGTGCTGGGCTGGTGTGGAAAGGCATCTGCCTTTCAAGAAAACATGTAAAACCAGAGCTCTGGTCTTTCTAGATGCTTAGACACTTCTATGGACATTTGAGATGAACAGGAAATGTTTCACTGGCCCAGCCCCAGTGGGAGAAAATCACATTCAAATTATTAAGTTTGATCTGCAAGCCATGCTCCGCAACTGGGGACCATAGTACCTCCTCAGTGGAGACTGGTCTGGAAAAAGGAGACTCACAAAAAAATGAATTTATTCTTATTTTAAGAACATACTTAGGAAACAAGAAGTGTTTCCAGAGGAGAGAAGATCCTCAAATTACTGGAACATTTGCACAGTGCAAAATCAGGATTAAATAGATAGGAATTTAGGATAGAGACATGCAAATGGAATATTGCAATTCATTACCATCAATGAGGTGTTGCTTTTCCTTCCTTGCCCTCTCTTTTCTTTTATTTTAGAGAAGAGGGAAGTACCCTCCCCCGGAAGGAGCAAGTGATATTTTGGGCTTAGAAGCAGCTGGGAGTGTGGCTGGGCTGGGCCCTGGCTGCAGGGGCCAGTGGAAGATCGGCGATGCAGTGATGGCTCTGCTCTCCGGAGGAGGTCAGGCACAGTACGTTACAGTTCCTGAGGGCCACCTGATGCCAATCCCCAAAGATATGACTTTTATCCAGGCTGCAGCCATTCCCGAAGCCTGGTTAACAGCATTTCAGCTGCTGCATTTTGTAGGTGAGAGGTGTATTTGCCCATCTATCCCAAAACAGCTGATATTCCTTTCTGTTATGAAATCCTTTCTTTGTTGCCTCCATCTGAATGCTGTTTGCCTTTCCTCTGTCACTTCATTCCCGTGGGTCAGAATTTGGTATGCCAGACACAAATCCTGAAATCTTGACCACCTCTCCCCACTCATAGCTTACCCTGTTGATTGCATATCTACAAGGAAGGATATGGAAAGATGCTCAGTTTTCTTTTCATTGATATTTCTCAGCTTGAATCACTGAATGGTTTGGGTTGGAGGGGACCTTAAAGATCATCTAGTGCAATCCCCCCCCCATGGGCAGGGACACCTTTCATTAAGTCTAAACCTTCAAATAACTTCCATGTTCTCCAAACAGCTGAAAAACCATCCTATTTCTAAGGATTTGACTTCACTTGCAAACATGACCATATAATGAACTTTCTCACTAATTGCCTTTGGACCTACAATAGGCAGCATCTCCTTGTACCTTGTTTCACAGAGACATTAATTGTAAGTAAAATCCCCTCTGAGCTGATTCAAAACATCAGAAGCTCACACTCTTCACTTTGAAAATACACTGCCAAGGCACTGCAGTAGCACTTGCCAGGGTTTTCCTCAGGTGAGAAATATCCTTCTTCCACCTTCTTCAGCAGTAGCACCTAAAAGTTCCAGTAAAGAACAGAAGTTCCAAACAAATAACTTTCTTGTAGACTTGCTTCAAGCAGTGTTGTTTCCTGGGGATCACTTCCAGATCACTTTAAATTAATGCGTTAGAGCAACTGATAGATAATTGGTAGAACTGGTCCTTAACATTACCCAGCACTTTGGATGTTTCTCCATTGTTGAGTGCCTGATTTTTCAGTATGAACATCCTCCAGCAGTGTTTTTTATTGGTGGAATAAAAAGGCTGATTGCACTCACTTAAGCATCTCGGTCACAGATGCCCAGAACTGGACAGGGCCAAGATAAAGTCATTCCACTGAAACTGGTAAAATGAAGTTGTGTCAGCACGCTGTGACCTCTGTTAGTCCTGGGTTTGTTTCTCTTATGAAAGATATGAAGATGTAAACAAAGCCCACAAGGGCATCTCTTTCAACCCCCTCTTCAGTATTTTCCATGCTGTTCATGTTTTAATCCAAAGGTGATGCCCAAAGGGTGACCACTCTTCCCTTATGTCCTCCTTCAGGTAAAATACAGGAGGGCGAGACAGTGCTGATCCATGCTGGAGCCAGCGGAGTTGGCATGGCAGCCATTCAGCTGGTGAGACTGGCTAAAGCAATTCCCATCGTGACAGCAGGAACTCAAGAGAAACTGAAAGCAACAGCAAACGCCGGAGCAGCTGCAGGGTTCAACTACAAGAATGAAGATTTTAGTGAAAAAGTCTTGGAGTTCACCCAAGGTAAGAACCTCTCTGTGAAAGAGCCTGTGACAGCTGGGGAGGAGTTTGTACCTCCCAGCACGTGCACATACACTCAGTTTCAGCCATCGCCTTAGTCGGTGAGGGAGCAGACAGTAGTGACCCTGTTAGCACAACCTGACACACTGTTCAGCTCAGAATGTGCCTTTCCTTAGTTTAATTGTGCTGTTTTCTGCATGGGCTCTCTTTATCTGTGTTCATTTGGGGCGTAAATATCGTGCCGCCTTATTGTTCCCTCCACAAAGAACTGTGGGACCAAGTCCTCACACCTGTCTTTGTAAGAATCACCATGGAATCACAGAAGGATTTAGCCTGGAAGGAACCTTAAAGATCATCTTGTTCCAAGCCCCTGCCATGGGCAGGGACACCTTCCACTAGACCAGGGTTCTCCCAAGCCCCATCCAACCTGGCCTTGAGCACTTCCAGGGGTAGGGTATCTACAGCTTCTCTGGGCAACCTGTGCCAGTGCCTCACCACGCTGGGTTCTCACACTGCTAGAAAATTTTTTTGGGGCCCAATTCTATAATTCCTTACAAATCATTGTGACAATTCCTAATTTCAGTAGAAAGAATTAAATGAGAATTGCAGGGTTGATTCTGTACCTATAAAGAACAAGGTTGTAGTTTTCCCTGAGATTATCCCAGCCTTTAATGCAGCTCAACTACATTGCTGAAATCTCTCCTGATTCTACTTAAGGTTCTGGAGTGGATATTATTTTAGACTGTGTTGGTGGCTCATACTGGGAGAAGAATCTCAACTGTCTGAGTACTGATGGCCGGTGGATTATTTATGGACTACTGAGTGGAGGTGAAGTCCATGGGGATTTGCTAGCAAGGCTGCTCTCCAAAAGAGCCAGCATCCACACGAGTCTATTACGGTCACGAGACAAGGAGGCAAGTAATGGCTATCAACAGTCTGTGCAGTTTGACCGTAAAATTGATGATAGTTTTCTTTTAAAACTAGTGTTAAACACCTTCTTGCAAAAAAAAAGTCCCACTTGAACTCTCATTACATACTTTGAAAAATTAAGTTATAATTAAGTTATAATGCGCCCTTTCTATTTTTATCAAATTCCTCCCTGAATCAGAGGAATGATACCCAGGACTTCTGAATGTATTTCACAAGTACCATAATTTAAAGATTTGCCCTAAAAAAGAACAGAACTTGAGTGATCAGGCAATTTGATGGAGTCTGAGGAGAGGTAAATAAAAACTTCTATTAGGTAATTTTTCGAAGTAGAAAGCAAGGCCATTTGGTTGCCCAATTACCAAGAAGAAAATCAATTTATGTGGAAAATTCTCAGCTTTGACAATAAAAGACAGGCAGTGCAGAGCCCTAGGGCAGATGGTTTAAGTCATACATATATATATATATATATGTAAATATATATATGTATATTCTCAAAAACTATCAGTTTGAATTTAAATGGTTCTGCACTGAGCTTACACCACCTGTTTTGGAGAATTTCATTCAATTAAAATGTAATAAATCTAAAAATTTTCTTCTTGTTTGTAATTTAGACCAGTCATATGTCTATTATGTCCATTTCACCGTGACAGTGCAGGAAGTGTCTCCTTGCAGGCTGCGCACACTTTGTACGCCGTGCTTAGAGACACCTCAGTGAGTGAAATGGCTGGAAATAACCTTCAAAACGCTCTTTTCCCGCAGTATAAGGAGCGGCTGGTGAGAGCCTTCACAGAGAACGCGCTGCCCTATTTTTCCGGAGGGGCTTCCCCGCGTCTCCAGCCGCTCGTGGACAGCGTTTACCCCCTGCACAAGATCGCAGAGGCACACGGGGTTATGGAGGAAAACAAGAACATCGGCAAAATCGTCATCGAAGTGCCCGTTTGCTTAAAGAAAGGGCCTCTGCTGTAGCTGTGCTGGGTGACAGGGTCACCGCGGGTGTTGGACTGCAGAGATCCTGCCGCTTTCTGCTCCAAACCGGGATCGCTTACTGTGGGCGCTGAGGAGGGGCAGAGGATTACGGGAAGCGTTTATTGAAAAGGTGGCGAGGAGGGGAAAAGGATAACGGGAGGCGTTTATTAAAAAGAGGTTCGTGTTGCAGTTCTGTTGGGGTGAATTGAAGGAGGAGGCGGGGCCGGGGCTGAGCGGTGCGCGCCGGGACAGCTCCGGTCCCTGAGGGGAGCGCGGTGCACGCCGGGACAGCTCCGGTCCGTGAGGGGAGCGCGGTGCACGCCGGGATAGATCCGGTCCGTGAGGGGAGCGCGGTGCACGCCGGGATAGATCCGGGTCTCCCGCCCAGCGTTCACGATCCCGGCTGGTGTTCCTGTTCCCGGGCTCCTTCCCCGCCGTTGTTCCTGCCCCAGGCCAAGGCCCCCGCTTTCAGCCCGCAGCCATGGCGATGCAAGCGGCCAAACGAGCCAACGTGAGTGCGCTGCGCTGCCCCCTCCCGCCCGCGCTGGGCTCCGGCCCCGCTCCTGGGGAAGGGAGCCCATCCCGCTCCAGGCATCCCGCTGGTCTGACGGGAACGCGGCAGGAGGGTGGGACGGGGTGATCTTTAAGGCCCCTTCCAACCCCGTTCCATGGTTTAGCCCGTAAGGTGCCGAGTTTAAGGTTTGTGGTACGTGCCCCGGGTCTGTCAATCCCCGTGTCTTTTCCCTCTCAGATCCGGCTCCCCCCGGAGGTGAACCGGATCCTGTACATCAGGAACCTGCCGTACAAGATCACGGCCGAGGAGATGTACGACATCTTCGGGAAGTACGGCCCCATCCGGCAGATCAGAGTGTAAGTGTTTTGTTTTCCTTTGGGACGTGAAGGGCTCCACGTGCTCCAGTGCCCGTGTTCCCACCTCAGTGGGTGACAGCTGGGATCCACAGCTGGAAAGGCTCAGTGCCCTGAGTGCCAGAGAGGGATGTGATGATGCTCTTACGTGAATTTATAGAAAATTGTATTGCTGGGAGGTGGGGGGAAGAAGCTTAAATTTCATGTGAACTTGGGGAAGTTGGTAAAATATGAGACTTGTTCTCTTGAGTCTCAAATACAGTTGAACTTGTACCTTCAGTGGAGCTAAAAATTAAGAAAGGCAGAAGCTGAACAGTTTTCCTGTTTAATGAATATGAGATAATTAATAGGAAAACAGATGTTGATGTTGCTGCTGGACCTGTGGACTAGAAACAAACACCAGCAGCAACCCCTATGGGTCAGAGACAGGGTGTCCTCGACCACACAGGGTCTGGACAGTGGGGATGTGACTGTGACTTTGCTTATAAATGCCTGGAGATTGTACATGTGTGCAGCAGCTCTGAGGTTCTTCTCACTGCTGGTTCAAATACTGAAGACATGAGTGCTGGTGTTGCCTGTTATCCTGAGAACTGTCTGAGTCATCAGAATGGTTTGGGTTGGAAGGGACCTTACGGATCACGATGTTCCAACACTCCTCGTGCCATGGGCAGGGACACCTTCCACCAGACCAGGGTGCCCTAAGCCCCTTCCAACCTGGATGCTGTGGATTAAGCCATCATTCCATCTGGGTGGTATCATGATCCACTAAGTTTCTGGCAGAAAGAGTTGGCTGAAGCTGGAATTCAGGGAGAGCTTTTGAGGACTGTAGTAAGGCTGGTTGGAATATAGACACACAAAAGGATTTTTTTTTTTTGCTCCTTCTAAAAGAATATTTAGGAAGGGGAGGAAACAGAACTTGGTGTTTAATACAGTGTGAGACAGATTTCAGTAGATGCACACATAGAAAGGAAATGTAGTTTGTATTTGATATGGAGTGGCTTTATTGTACTGCTTTTATCAATGGTGGCAAAATAACCTGCAGCACCTCCTGAGTTCTTGATTAAGTTGCTGATCAGATTAGAGCAGAACATACCCTTGTCATTTATATGGCTTTCTGTTTCCCAGTTCTCTGAGACTGGGGTGGGAAATTAATGTTTGGTTTGACTGTGTAGGATAAATATGTAAATACATAAATTGTCAGTGCTGCTTAAACAGACCAAGTGTAACAACCTAAAATAGCAGTGCTCATTTCAGAGCTGTAGTGATTAAAATCACAGGATGGTTTGGGTTGGAAGGGACCTTAAAGACCATCTAGTTCCAACACCCTGCCATGGGCATCTTCCACTAGACCAGGTTGCTCAGAGCCCCATCCAAGCTGTCCTTGAACACTTCCAGGGATGACACATCCACAGCTTCTCTGGTAACCTGTTTGATTGTTAATTGTATAGAGCAAAGTGAGTTTTACAGACAGAGTTGCCCTCAGCAGACCAGGAGAGGGGGCACGTGCTGGTGGTGCTGTGCTGGGACGTGCAGCTGGACAGACCCTTCTCCTACAGGGAAGCACAGCAGACATGGCTGGGGAATGGCTGAAGGAACAAGGGGAAGTGTAAACGCTGGTGGGCTAAACAGGTGGAGTTCTTTGCTAATGAGCATAAAGGACAGCCAGTACTTAAGGTTTCTGAAAACACATAGGCTAGAACAATGTGACAGTGGGACATAAGGAATTGGGATGTGTCGGGAGCTTTCCATCAGAGTGACGCACTGACAGGTGTGTCCAGCAGTTTGTTCAGAACTACTAATTGATGTTGTTTCCCACAGAAATCCCAACATCATCACAAGACAAGGCATAAGGTCGATCCCCCTTTGTAATGGCTTTTGTGCCTTGTGCAGTTTTTATCCCATTCTCCACCTTTGTACACATCCCAGGGTGGATATGTGACATGCCATTTGTCCTCGGGAGTTCTCAGAGGCACCTTGGAGACAGTTGTTCTGATTATTAAGTCTCTATAACTGTCTTTTAGTTGAAACCTTTGGGATCTGTAAACTCTGTGTCCCTCTGGGCTCATTGGTGTTATGTACCCAGCCACGTGTCTCATCCCTCGGGCGAAAGGAGTGGAATTGGTGCTCCACTGGGTGATGGCTGTGGCTCTGCAGTGGGCTTTCACCAGCAGGGCTGTTCTGACTCCTAAATTGACTATATGATGTACCAGGAGCCCTTTTCCACCCTAGGGATACATCTGATCCAGACAGCCACTGACAACCAGGTCTTGTAATATTAAATAAAACAAGCTAATTGCTGTAATAAAGACTTAAATCATTTCCAGATACATGGCAACCCTGACAAAAGCTTCTGATAGTTGTTGTGGGGAGGTGCATGTTGTGGGGAGGAGCACACTCTCCTGTTGTCTCTGGCTCTGAACTGTTTGGTGTGGAAAGCAGGGATGTAGTTTAATATCTAGAAAAAATAAAAAATGTTTTTTAGTGAAGTTGCATTAGTTCATCCCATCTCAGTCACTGTGAAATAAATAAACGTTAGACTAATAAAACCATTTCTTGTTCGTTTTATTCAATGTTAAAACTGATGTTGCTCTGCAGTGGGAACACCCCTGAGACCAGAGGAACAGCCTATGTGGTGTACGAGGACATCTTCGATGCCAAGAACGCCTGTGATCACCTGTCAGGGTTCAACGTTTGCAACAGATACCTCGTGGTTCTCTACTACAATGCAAACAGGGTATGTGCACCAGGCGGGTTTAAGTTACCTGTGAACAGAGCCAGCACAAAAAACCAAGCCCAAAATCAGTTTGTAAAAACAGTTGCTTGGGTGTCCTTAAGAAATAAACCCCAACTGTTGGAGGGAGTGGAGTGGACACACGGTCAAGGTTGCATCTTTACGTGGGGATTTGTGTGCCAAACAAAGTACCTTTGGACCAAGGGTGTGAAAGAAGTGTTTCTGGTGCAAGTAGTCTGGAGAAGAGGAAGCAGGGGCCTCACACCAGCACAGCTGCAGCAGGATGGGAGATCTTGTTTATGGGTAAAAAGTCTCCAGTTCTGATGTCCTGCCCGTCACTGACGGTGTCCAAGGCCCTGTGATGTTCTCCAAGGGTGAGAATCAAACAGAGCTCTGTGTGTGATGGTGATGGATTTCATAGTGATGTTGGTTGCAGTTACTGGGAAACAACATGTCCTAAGATGAGAGATTCTTTGTCATCTCACATCTTTTGTTTTCCTAATTACAGGCATTCCAAAAGATGGACACAAAGAAGAAAGAAGAACAGCTTAAGCTTCTCAAGGAAAAATACGGAATTAACACAGACCCACCAAAATAAACTGATCTTTTTTGGAAAACTGTTTTCAAGCCCTGCCATCAAGTTCTTAACCTAAACACAGGAATTCTCAACAAAGTGTAACTTTTTCTCTTACAAGTTTGATTAAGCTGCAATATGAATCTTTAGATCTTCACATTAGAATTAAATAAATGTAAAACATGGGAAGATCTGCTTTAAGATTAAATCCCCCAAGGGGACATGGGCTCTCCAAGCTGTGAGGGTGACCTGGCAAAGGCTGCATTGACCTGTTTCTAGCAGGAGCTTTAAGAAGGGACCGAGCAGGTTCTGTTTTTGACTGAACAAAGCAAGCCTATGTTAATAGCAAAGCTCCTTTCACAAACTGTAGAAGATAAATGACCTTTTAAAAGTATCCAGCTGATAAGCTGACTCCAGTCAAATCTTGTTCTAGCAGTGGTGCCAACACTGACCAGGTGCAGTGAAACAGCCCTGCTCTCACAGTGCTGTGCTACTGGGCTGAGCTAAGGCTGTACAAGGTCTTTGTTGTGTGTACCAGGTTTGTACTGAGGACTCTGTGTGAATTAGAGAACACTCAACCAAAATGAGACAGTAGATGAAGATTTTTATTTTGGTACCCGTACTGTGATTGTTTTCTGTCTGATGTGTTTGAACTGTAACACATTTTCTGTACATAAATTTTTAGGTGTAGCACCTGGTGGAGGCAAAACCAAATTTACGTTTCTTGTAGATTTTTTTTCTTCAGCACTCATGTCCTGTGTATAAAAATGAGTATGATACAGAGTGTGCATAACCAGTGTCTTTTGGAAGTGGGAAAGAACAACCTCCACCTCTGTTCTGAGCCAGCTGGAAGTTGTGTGAACTTTGGTAGTATCCTGCCTTGGAATGATTTACTTGGGTGGATGGGAGGTTTTACTCCCTGACCAGACAACTTCCAGCCACTGCAGAACGTGGGCAGATGCAAACATACTTAGCCTGAGGATTTGTAATTTAATTTTGTTTTTTTTTCAGTTCATT